ATGCTCTTTCAATGAGATCAAAAATTCTGATCACAAATCAAACGAATTCAGTACCAATTCATAACGATTCAATGGATTATGAGAACGTTTCAAGCGAAAAAAATCCTTTTTGAGAAATGAAATTTAAAAAATACGATTTCGTTTCACGAACTTGGTGCGACGAAGAAGTGGAAGGGCGTGATGAGTAGTGATGTTGTACGGGCGGAGGGATCGAATGCGACTGAGATGAGGTTGATGCAGCCGACATAATGCCACCTTTAATTGATTGCTTTCAGAGATATTTATGTCAATGCTATTATTTTCATACTCCTATTCATATACTAAAACATATTTGTAGACATATACACCAGTCCAGTCTTTCGTTGAAAATTAGAGTCAACCGATTGAATTAAATGATTGGAGTACGAAAAAGGTATTGCTTCACAAAATGAAAAAATGATCCTACGAATATGCTCAGACAATAAATAAATGAACACCACTACATGAACAACATTATTTCAACCAAATTCAACCCCTATCCCCTCCTCCTCCACTCCCCCAACGATCCAAGGGAGTGATCGCCATACTTTTGAAGAGTGATGGTCATACTTTGTTAGAGTAAAATTAGATCAAACAAACAATCTAAATGAGAACAGCAAATAAAAAATCTGACTTGCACGATTTTTCCGTTGTTTCTTCGACCACATTTCATGACAATCTTGCCAATCCGGTAATTTCGGTGGTTCAATGGCATTCGGATTGAGGTCTTTCAACCACGGATGCTGCAGCGCTTGTCTTGACGTCATTCGCTTTCGAGGATCCAGCTCCAATAAACGATCTAACAAATCCAATGCTGCCTCTCGAAGGCTGAAACAACAAATTCGAACAAATCAATAAATTAACCGATAATATTTTTTTTTGAGATACATTCCGTCTATATTTCGAACGGATTTTATCTAAAAACGTTCAACGCTGTCAGCAATCAGATACTATACACAACGAAGTGATAAAGATACGTACATACGTATCTAAAAGGAATGTATCTAAAAAATTCTCCAAATGAACAGAATAACA